TAAGACTTTAGACTAACAAAATAAGATAAATGATAGAATATTTTCTTTAAATCATGGTAAATATTAATGCAATAATATTGTAACTATAGTTCTTAATTTATAACTGTTTGGTTATATATTTTACTATGTTAATGGTAAAACCCTTCTTTTTATTTAGACAGAAAAGAGAAGATGAGGAGAAATCTTTCTCTGTATGTTTATCTTATTGGTTGTTGAAAAAAGCACTGTTGGCCAATAAGGGGGCAAGTTAGGTGGGACTAGGAGTAGAAGAGGATTCTGGAAAATATAGTAAAGTCTTGTCATTCAGCCAGGAAGTAATATAGCAGGCAGACTTAGAATATAATCAGGGTCAAACAGGAAATATCTCTCTCTTCCTGTTCCTCCTGCTCTGTTCTCTGTGCATCTGCAATGTGAGCCCGGGAAGACAGGATGCCTGCCACTGGCATCCCCAATAAGGTAAGTCTTTATAAAATATATAGATTAAGAAATTCTATTTATTGGCCAGTAGCATTGTACATAATATAAATCTCTGTGTGCTACTTTGGGCCTCATATGGCTGTGAGCAGAACTCAGGCAGTGGTGGAAAGATATATTATTATACCCCACAGTTCTTCCTATTATATAAGTATCTATTCTACTGCTTTCCTATCTCTGATGCTATCCCCAGCATTCCTTCACTTTCAGAATTTTGTGTGCCTCCTGTATAAAAACATTAGGATCAATCAAGACTGACAACTTTGCCAGTTACTGTAGGAAGAATAAAACTCTTCATTATCTTTAGGTACATGACTAAAGAAGAAAATTGTCGGCATTCTTAAGATACACCTTTGTCACGGTGGCTTAAGTATTTTGGTGGTAAACAACTACTTTGAGGATCATGACTAAATCCATGGGATTGAAGAAGCATACCATACTGCTAAAATATCCAAAACCTGAGAACAGAATAGTCACAGCCTTATGCAAAATCTATTTCTCTCATTCTGATATAGGAATATAGAGATAAAATAATCCCTAATTGATACATTGATATACCCATATTTCTATGAATCCGTTGCACTAATAAGACATGTTTCTTCATGCACTATATGGGAAATAAAATAACACTCTCCAGGTGACCTTTTTCTTTAGTGCTTGACAGGATTTGGAATATTATGGAGTGATGTGATTTACCTTCATCAGGCTGTTCCCTTAAACTGCAATTATCTATACTGAGAAGGACACAAAAAGATTGTAGCATCTAACAGATAGATGTTCCCATAGAAATGTTTTCCAGGCTTCAATTTACTTTCAGTCAGAGGAATTCTGAGTCTGAAGTAGCAAACACAAGTCTTGCACAGGAAAAAAAAAACATACAAAATCACCTAAACAGAGAACAAAGATATCTGATATGTTAACAACTTTCAAGGGAAGTAAATAATATCATTTGTCACCATAGTTAAAAAATAGATTTCAAACAATCCTCTTGCCTGGAATGTGATTCCTAGAGAGGAATGGGGCTGATAAGGAAGAGGGGAAAAAAGGATTAGGTTCTGTATATGCCAAAATGGAAGAAAATGCAAACCAAATTATAAAGTTGAATATGTGAATCTACATGGCAACAAGATGATAACAAGTAAATCTCCTGTATTATATGTTATTTCCCCCAATATTTCCACATATTCTAAGCACTGATAGTAAAAACTGACAATGCTATAGCAATTCCCAAAGTGGATACCAGAGGACAGAAAGAGTCTGACTAACCTAGTGTTCCTAAGACACTAAAGTCTGAAATGGATTTTTTCCTTGCAAATGATACAGCACTTGAGGACTGAGACAGGGATAGGACATATTAAAATAGCAGCAGTAGCTTCAGAAGCAGGATACACTTTTTCAAAAGACACAGGAGCAGGTGACTGAGAGTTTTAATGGTTGGAATCAAAAAATCACTGCCTTTGCTGATTCCCATGTCTCTATCTCCTGTAGATGACAGTAGCAGTCTGCCTTGTCTGGGTCAGTGTACTGTCTGGCTCTGATCATACCCAGAATCGACTGAGACCTGGAGTATAGCCAGAGACTGACTGGTGAGAAGTTGCACTGTTGAAGCTTTTATTATTACTCCTTGCCTCTGATTAAAGGACTATGTGATCAAGTTGAGCATGGAATAAGAACAAAAAAAGCAGAGTGATCTCAATTCCAGCAACGGTAGCAAATCCAGTCATTCTCTTAGAGCTCTCCATCACAAGTGTTGATTCACTATTCTCCCCCACCTGGATATGTGTGCACCAGATACAGAGAAATTGAAATTGGATGAGAGCAGAAAAAATGCAACTTACCTTTTCTCTGACTCCGAATTTCAAAAGAAAAAAAAAACAGGTAGCAAGTACTAGATGATTATATATCTGGCTGCTTGGACTTACATCCCAACTATATATGTGAAAGCCTCCATTTCTGTCTGAACGAAGCTGGTTTTGATCCTGGGCTGCCCATAGCTGCTTGCTGATAACATTTTTGATATGCTGTGTCAGAATCCCCAATTACGATGATAAATGCTGAATTTAAATGGTTTTTCATGTCTTTCTTTGGACATAGATGAAATTTCCTCACTCAGAAGTGGATATTAGACATAAAGCAAAGGATACCCTACCTACAGTAAATAATCCTAGTGAAACTAGGTAACAAAGATGATGGTAAGAGAAATATACATGTATCTCCCTGGCAATGGGACATAGACAAGAAATCCACAATGATTTAGTGATAATGAAGTGGACAAGGAAGGATGGAAGTAGAGAGAAGCAGTGAGGAGGGGAGTGTTAGGAGAACATGAGAGAATGGGATGGTCCAGATGGAAGAATAAGAGATGAGACCAAGGAATGAGATATCTTGACAGAGGGAGATATTATGGGGTTAGGGAGGCACCAAGAAATTTCCCTGTGATCTACAAAAAAGACACACACCCTCCCCCGCTAAAATTCTAAGCAACACATTAGAGTGTTCCTGAACTGTCCTTCAACTATAATCATACTGACAGCAACCTTAATTGTCATCATGGAAACTTCATCCAGTAAATGATATAAGCAGATGCAGCTATATACAACTAAATACTTGGTCAAGCTTCAGGTGTCAATTTGAAAAGATCAAGTTACAATAATATAAACAAAGGGGTCAGTCCCATAATGGGAAACTTAAAGAAACTGCCAACAAGATCTAGCATACTTCTTAGTGAGTTGATGTCACAAAGCCACTTATAAATAGTTTATGCTATTCTTGGGAAACAATTCAACCTTACTTCGTGACAGCTGAGAATGTATGCTGAAATTGTAAACTTGGCCAAGGACCATGGATGCAGAAATGATGAACTCTGGACTACTAGGTACCTCTACCAATTTTCAGTAACAGTATACTTCCATGACTATATGCAAAATATGACAGGGAGCTACAATCATGGTAATATTCTGGGATATTGAATTAATGTGGAAGTAACCAAGAAAATTTTATTTCTTTTAAGGGTCAGTTCATGAGATGGAAGCTATACATAAAACTGCTAAAGTAGCCAACCACCTGAGTTTATATAAGATATATTTATATAAAAAACCTACTTCTATTTTTATGCTATTGGAAGAATGAAATAAAATGATTACTAATAAAATATTGTTAAACTCATGAATCAGTTAATTGCTCAAACCACAGAAGGGGTGCTTCTTCATGGGGAAATGGGCTGATGGGAAATAACATGGAGATTTTCCACCAGTCTAAGGGTAGAGTGTGAGAAACTTTGCAGGAAAAGGTCATAAATGGGCTATGTTTACCAAAATTTACTCTTAAATATTTGTTTGTCTGTGTGGAAGAGAATGCAGATAGATTGTGAGAGCAGCAATAGAAGAAGTCGATGCATAACAGTTTTCATTCACAACAGGACTGACACACAGAAGACCACACAGCAAATACTGCAGCAGACACAAATTTCTGTACAGGCTTAAATCAGGCAAAATGCCAGCTCTGGAGTGGAAAGTAGACAAAAACTACAACCTCTATCAAGGAGTTATTTATAATTGTTATGTGCTAGGAAATTTATATTTACTCCAAAGAAATGTCACTGGTTAATATTAACCACTCATTCATGTAAACCTCAGCAATAGTATAAATTTGCCAACACCAAATGGACTAAATTTTTGTTGCTTTGTTTATTTCTGCATTTTATTTTCAGAATATATATATATATATATATATATATATATACGGGGTGTATAGAAAAGTAAAGAGAAACAGAGAGTGAGAATGATTGCTATCATTTAAGACTATGTAAAGATAGGATATTAGGGAGTTGGGGAGGAGCTGGAAAACATGAGGGAGAGGACAGAATGTAATCACAAAATTTTGAAAGAATAAAACTTTTAAAAATCCCTACTTTAAAACTATGCACAAAGTAACGCAAACGAAAAGATTTCAATATCTAGAATTATTTATCACAAGGACAAAGCATAAGTGACTTAATTGTGAAGGCTTGTATCAACTTTTTAAAAGAGTTTAAGCTTATGATACATTAATAACTAAATATCAAAACTTACATGATCATCTGAAAGTACAGAGCAAAGTATTTCAGAAATCCAATGAACCTTCATGATTTGAAAAATAATTCTCAAATATTACTTAAAGAGATGATATAGGACAAAAAACTGAATATCTAATGTGCAGATGTTAAATTCATCAGTATATTGGAATTTTAAAGATAATCCAAAAATATCATGTATTGGCACTGATATTTGACACTGTTCACAACAAAGTTCATAGAGGATATGAATAATGATCTTAAGTATTGACGGTTAATGTAGAGAAGGTAATTTCTAATTTTATGAAGTTGTAAAATTATGTATAGAAAACCACAAGTTATAAATATATAGTTACATAAGAACATAATTCTTCCACCTTGTAGTAAATGAGAAAATATCTTATTTCAATTAATTTCATCAGGCAAAGTAAATAAATGTTGTTGTAGATGAAAATGGGAGGTTGTTTTACAATACCGTCTGCAGCAGGTGGTCACATACATCTGTTGGTCCCTTAAGATCCTAAAATTGTGGCCTTCTTGAAGAGTGTGAGATCCTGGTGTTTAGCACATACAGACTCTGTTTCAGAAATACATGACATACAATGAAAGAACAAAATTTAAATAAGTGTACCCTATGTATACTTTCAGCTACAAACACAAAGGTAATATGGATAGAAATATTGAAATACAGAACTTAACAGTGGCTGTAGAGAAATTATGTAATGAAAGCAGTGCAATTCACCAAGAACATAACAATGAGATACATGAAAAAGGGGAATGCTATCGTCTATTTGAAAGCCCCCTAGATTATGAAGTACTCTCTTACACTTTATGAATAAAAATGATAAAATTCGAAATAAATACTTAACCTTTGAGTTCCATACATTTAATTTTATATGAATTGTTTACAAAACTTGCATATACCATATATTTAAATTAAAACATCTATTATTTATACATAATACTAACTAAAACTAAGAGCCTACATTTTCAAATGCTTCTTTCTGAATTCTGTGGGTTGTTTTCCTATCTTGTTTTAGTGAAATCAGAATTAATTATGAAAAAAATTTTGAATTGATCATCTATGCAAATTCCTAAGTTATTTTGATGGCAAATCATTTCAATTCAAGGTACTAACTACATACCGACAGCAAAGATTCATTAGGGATTCCATACGGTGGAAACTAGTTTTTTGTACTTAAACCACAAAGATAAAATAGCATTATGCAGCAGAGACTTTATAATTTTTATGGTAGGCAGACTAGAACTTGGTTTTAAGGTTAGCCAATAATTTTAAAATATTCATTACAAAATCCCACTAAGGATAATAAATTGGTCAGGAAATACGTTATGTCAAATAATCCAAAAAGTAGCCCCAAACAAAAACTTTAAATATTTAATGATTTACAAACATTTAAAATCTTCATATTTATCAACTACAACCTCATTATTTTTTAGACAACTGATATTCAGAAACATACTAGACATTAGGATTATACTATTCCAAAATCTTGATATATTAATATTCTTTTTATTGCTCAACTTATCTAAAATTCATGAGGGACTCCAAAATAGATAACAATGACTAAACAACCAGGAGTCAAATCTAAAGTGAGAGTCTCCCATGTCATTCTTATTATTATTCCCTCTTATCATTACCACCATGGTGAGTTAATGTAAACACCTCACCTAACAGTATTATAAAATTTCAATGTAAATAAACTTCAAGATTTTAGTACCTTAATCAAGTGTTATAATTTTCCAAATGAGAGGTTTACAAATGTATAAATGGCTTTGTAATCAAATGAAAAATAAATTTTTCACTATACTTTAGCAAGTAATGAAAATATACATTATGCCAAAGCAGATAATTTTTTTAGACCCTGTACAATAAATCTAATCTATTATACATGGCTGGTGAGATTATGGATCTTTAAAATGAATCTTTGGCTTCTTATTTTCCTGCAACTATTAATTTCTAAATGTGTTCTAAATATCTACCCCTTATGCCCAGATTATTTTAGCTGTCACCCTTAGGAATATATTCAACTTTCATCACATACAGACTTACCGAATTCGCCAAATTCAATTTTCAAAAAACTACTGATAGTGTTATATTCAACCCTAACTGATTCCAAACACTCATCATCATTCCAAAACTGTAACAACATTGGAGAAATGTGCAAGCAGATTATATTATAAGGTTGAAAGTAAAAGGATATCTGTTGTGAGTAAGGAGCCTTCCATATAGGATAAAAAAGCTACCAACATAAAATGGCAATGGCATGTACAACTAAAAGATTACAACAATGACACCACAAGTTTTTATGACAAAATAAAAGGGTAATTCTCCCTATATCACACATTTAGATGACAATTTACTGGCAAATGATGAATATTAAGGAGAGAGGATGTCTCTTGAATCACATGGTACAAAACTCAGTCAAGGTTCAACAAGATTTTGTTCAAGGAGATCCATATTTTGTGATATCTCTTATTCTCTGAACCAATCAGTGAGAAATTCAGATTATTCCCAAGTTAGAGTATGTTAAAACACTCTACCATAGAAAAGAAAATCAAAACTATTAGAGAGTTTAGCTAATTCAAATAAGAATGTCAAAATGAACACAAATCTGACAACATCTGCTTCAGGCCAATGAGGAAAATAGGATAAACATTCACTCTTACCACAATGAAAATTAGTCAGGTCGAAATAGCAATCAGTGTGGATATTTAGCTCATAGTAAAAATACTCACAACAAAGAAGAAATGAAAACATACCACACTGACCTAACTTGTTCTACATTTAGTCAATCGATATTTAGTGCTTCTTTGTCAGAAGATTTTGTCAGAGTTACCCATAAAACTTGCAATTTTTGTGCTCTTGGAATGGACATTTAATACATTAAAATTGTGATTCTATACAAAATCCCTGTGTCTTGAATGTACTAGCTTAAATCACTTGACTGGCAAATATATTTCTGAAAAATGCAGGTTTTACTATTGATTCTGGATTTAGCCATAATTCTTTGTAACATCCTTAGTAGTACAATTTGACAATAGGGGATATTGCAATGAAAAGCAATATTGAAATGCACTACTAGGTTTATAAATTCATATTTTTGAGTCACACTCCCAAAGTTATCAATCCTTTCAGTAAAAGGATTATTTGTTTCTATCCCAGAATACAAAGAAATGTGAGATTGGTAATAATATTTAGAAGTCCCTTAGGTCTATGTACTCAAAAATTATGAGAAAGGACAAGAATTATAGCCAGAAGTGAAATATCTTCCTTGTACATGATACTGCAATTCAAGACAAATACAAGGCTTTCACATTTACAAAACAAAACAAAACAAAACAAAAGAATCAGTGTCTTCGGAAGCAGTATGCTAATTCCTGCTGTTTTCCATGGTCTCTGACCCCTGTAGATGTCAGGAGCAGTTGGCCTTGCCTGGGTCAGTGTAGGGTCAGACTCAGAGAATACCGAGTACCTCCTGAGTACTGGAGTAAAGACTGAGCCAGATTGTTAAGAAGCCCCACTGCAGACACTTTTATTACACTCCTTGCCTCTGATTGAAGGGCTGTGTACATTTCAATTGGGCATGGAACCAGTAAGAAGAGATATCTCAATTCCATCACTGGGGGCAACTCCTGATGTTCTCTTGGAAATCTCCATCAGAACTGCTGATGCATTTCTACCACCCAACTAATAGTGTGCTGCCACAGAAGCAGCGAAATTGAAAGTAAAACATGAAAAGCCATAATTTTACCGGTCAAAACTCCAATTATCAAAAGGAAGAAATACGACCTGGTGGAAGGTAGGGGGAGCTAATATGTCACTTTCCTTGGGCCAACATCCTGGCTGTTAATATGAAAGCCCTCGATACTGCCTGTGCTGCATGATTGTGAATCTGGACTAGGAAATGCTGATTGTTACTAGCATTTTCTGATATGCCTTGTCAGATTTCACAAGAACAATTCTAAATACTTCAATTCAAGCTTTTCTCCAATATATTAAATTACTGCCTTAATGAAATGCTTCCATTGTAAGTGGAAATTTTCACTGACAGCCCTCCTCTGCTGGTACACAAACAATCTCTGCCTTTGCTGATTCTCCCGGGCTCTGACTCCTGTGCAAGTCAGGAGCAGTCTGCCTTCTCTGGGTCAGTGTACAGTCGGGCTCGGCTTGTACCCAGGATCTACTGAGTCCTGGAGTATAGCCGAGCCCGACTGGTAAGAAGCCTCACAGTGGACACTTTTATTACCACTCCTTGCCTCTGATTGAAGGACTGTGTACATTTAAATGGGGCAGGGAGCCAATAAGAAGAGGGATTTCAACGCCAGCAGTGGGGGCACATCCGGATGTTCTCTTGGAGATGTCCATCAGAACTGCTGATTCATTTCTCCCTCTCAGCTAAACGTGTGCTGCCAGAGAAGCAGCAAAATTGAAAGCGCGACACAAAAAACATCTTTTACACTAGACAAATGTATAATTCTTAAATTGAAAAATATAAGACTGGTGGCTGGTAGGGGGTGCTCAAATATTAGGTTACTTGAGGCTTAACCCTGGGTATCTACATGCAAGCCCCCGATTCTGCCTGGAGCTGCATGATTGTGAATCTGAGCTACTAAGTGTTGCTAATTGCTGACATTTTCTGATATTCCCACTCAAATGTGTGTCGCGGCCAAATCAGTAAAACTGAAAGTGGATGATAGGAATAAATGTAACATACCCTGGGCTCTGGCCCCAGCTATCAACAAGAAAAAAAAAAAGAAAAGAAAAATAATACTCTCCTGTGGCAAGTACGGACAAGCTTACATATTACAAGCTTAATGCAGGCTTTGAGATACTATTCTGTGATGTGAATTGTCTTCATGAAGCCCCACCCTAAAGCCTCAATGTTCATAATTGAAAACGAGACAGAACTATTCTCTCTCTCTCTCTCTCTCTCTCTCTCTCTCTCTCTCTCTCTCTCTCTCTGTCTCAAGACAGAGAGAGAGAGAGAGGGAGGGAGTCCCCTATCAAACTTTCATTCTATGTAGTTAGTTGGAATGATGTTACTGAGTACCAGATGTATTTATATTCTACGGTAACACAATTAAGGAGAATCTTCAATGAGATATTCTTATAATTGTGTTGGCTAATATAAACATGTTTGAATATTGTCTCTGAGACTCTAAAGGGAGACTATGGGAAATTAAGTGGGCAACAAGTAAATCAAATAACTGATTACTGAGAGAGTTATTTCTTAAGCCTCTTCATGTTATAAGAGTAACAGTTGTTACAATACCTCTCCAATTACATTCTCAGTGCATTTCAATTCCTTACACACACACACACACACACACACACACACACACACACACACACACGGCTGATTCTTTGTATGTTTACATGAACTTGTGTATGTATCTTTGAACTATTTGTGATTTCATACAAGGGCATGGTATTTGTATTATTTTACACTTCTTTTTGTTTCCTACTGCCACCCAAGTCTGTTCTTTTAAATGTCAAATTTTATACCTTTTCTTATTAAAATTATTTTATCCTTCATGAGCAAATACATACCTAACTAACCCACACTGAGTACCTAATCTTCCTAATCTAATGATAATGAATAACCATATTTAGCATTGACATTCAGAAAGGAAAGGTCTATCAATGTCATTTTACATTATACATGGGTCCTTTTTTTCCTAGCACACATAGTTTGTCAGTTAAATATGGGAAGTTGGATGAACATTATGTCTGTGTTGGAATGACAATGTTTGGAGTGATTGTGCTAAACTTTTCTTTTTCAGTTTGTTTGTTGTAGGGGTCTCTGACCATGCTTGTGAGGGCGTGGTCAGAGTGAAGTAGTGTGACTGCATTTGCTCTTTCACTTTCACTTTGCTTCTTGCTGTACAGACTGCTACCATGCCGGCTGGCTAGGTCACTCTGTAAGTAAGGCTTTTCCCTATTAAATACCCTTATATCTCTACCTGACTCCATATTGGTAATTTCCCACAATAGTTTGTTTTGTTTGATTTTTGTTTTGGCTCTACAAGTCATCAAAATTCTCTCCTTTGAAACTTCCTACTCATCTTTCTTGAAACTCTGGTACCAACACATATAATTTTACATAGAACAGAACAATGTTTTCATTCACAATAGTTTCTAAGTCTACGAATAGTTTAAAGTTGTGTTTTTGATCAGTTGTGGTTGGACACCCAATTGTAATCCTTAGCCAATTGAGCAGTTGCAGAAATGTGTAAAATGATGCATTTTTTTCTGAAATTAACAGTTACCATTGTCTTCGGGTATAAAGATAATTATTGATAACACATCTAGAAATCCTATGGCTTGGGGAAATTTGCAGAGAAATAGTCTGCTTCTGAGCTCATAAGCATAATTTGTCTTCCTTTATATTATGTCTTCTTTAGTCTAGAAAGCTAGAGTAAAAATTTCACACATGTCTTTAGGATCCAAGACACTAATACCCTATAAATGCCTATCTGATGGCAAATTATGACTTGTGGAGATATTGCTAAATTGATATAATTTACAGATAAAATATTTTAGTTCTCTTAGCTGAACTTTTTACAAGAAAACAGCGTAAGTGACATGTGTACAATTAATTATATATATTAGCCAATATATTAGTGGCTTAGGAGACAGTATCTAAGACCTTAATAGTGTAAGACATGGTTAAAAGAATCCTATTTTCAAAAAGAAGGAAAAGGGAATATAATGGTTCAAGATTCACAGGTTTTAGATGGGTGAGAGTACTACTCAACATTGCTCTTATTTCATATATATGGGGATTACTTAAGTACAGCAGATACAATTGATTGGTCTTAAAACTTTAACTCAGGAGGTAGACAACAAAATTCTGAAGTTTTTACACTATACAGCCACTTAAATGACCATATCAGCACCCTAAGTGCTTGGAAATATGAACAAATTGCACTTTTCATTAGAAATCACATATTAGAAATCAGTCATACAAGCATTGCCATCCAATCCCAGAACATGAGGCCAAGGTATTGACAGCAAGAAATTTGAGGTTTTTTTGGCCAGTTTGGATAACATAATTGGCAAATTCCAAACCTGTGAGCTACAGTATGTTAACGGAATTGCTAATATACATGTGCTTGTAACTAGAATGTGCTGGGTTTTTCAGTAAGCTTATGCTCCTGAATTCCCATCAGCTTAGAATGCCTGCCTAATTCTTTACCTCTAATACCTAGGGAACATAGGTATTTCTGTGGAAGAATCTTGAAGCCAAAATATTGTCAGATTGATTTATTTTAAACAGTTTGTTAAAAAGCTCAAGTTTTCCTCTGGCATTTTAGCTATGATGTTGCAAGTTTGCTAGTAGTTGGCCCCCTATCCATGCTTTACCTGAATGTGTATGTTACAAATAAAGAGAGTAAGTTGAGGAAATAATGAATGAGTAGTAACTAGATAAGAATTCTCCTTAAGGATTTCCCCAAGTCCAGTCAACAAAGAGAGGAAAGACAATATGGATCAAAGGGGTCAAGACCATTTTGGTGATAACCAAAGAGGAGGCTGACCTCAGCAAGTCAGAGTTCACTGATTCCAGACTGACAGCTGGGGGACCTGCATGGCACCAAGCTGGGCTCTCTGAATGTGGGTGATGATTGTGTGGTTTGGGCAGTCAGTGAGGCCACTGCCAGTGAGACCAAGATTTATCCCTAATCCTTAAACTGGGTCTATAGAGCCCATTCTTTTGGCAGGATACTTTCCTCAGCTGAGATATAGGGGGCAGAGTATTGGTGTTGCCACCAAAAGATGTTCCAGAATTCTTTAAAACCATTGGAAACTTTACACTCTCTTAGGGATGGATGGGTGGATTGTGGGAAGTTTTGGACAGCAGAAGGAGACCAGAGAGTGTGAACAGGGATTGGTCTATAAAATGAGAATAGATTGCTTTAAAATAAAAAAAAATATTTCAGAAAACATTTTAGGTAAGGAAATATAGTTAATACTTTCAAAATTTCAATATCGCATATTAATACTGAACAGAGTATTTCAAAATTGTGATTGGCACTGAGAATACAAAATGAATGTCCAAAGTATTCAGATGTGTGAGGAACAAACCATACATAAAATCATCTAAAATTTTGAAAATGTCATAGTATACATATATTACGAATAACTTTCCTAAATGCAACACCTTAGATCACTTCATGATCATCTTTACAAGTTAGATATGGCATGCACACTGAGGTATTCAGAGCAGCACATAAAAGTAAAAATCCCATGTAGTATTTCAGGCACTTTCCTATACATATAGGAGAAAACTAAAATTCAACCTTTTAAAGATTCCACTTTGGGAATCTGACTTTATATACTAGAAAAGTTAAGCAACCAAGCAGCATTTGGAAGCCCAAATCACAATTATCATACCCCAAGCAGAAATGAAGACTCTATGTAGATAGCCAGGCACAATACACAAGTTGGTAGATATGTAAGCTTGGCCGTACTTGCCACAGGAGAGTATTATTTTTCTTTTCTTTTTTTTTCCTGTTGATAGCTGGGGCCAGAGCCCAGGGTATGTTACATTTATTCCTATCATCCACTTTCAGTTTTACTGCTTTTGCCACAACACACATTTGAGTGGGAATATCAGAAAATGTCAGCAATTAGCAACACTTGGCAGCAACACTGGGGAGCAGAAAGGATATATAACAGGTAGAGTTTTAGTTGGTGGGTGCTAGGGAAGGAGTTTAGGGAGTGGGAACTTGAATTGACATGTAAAACAATCTTTTTTCTAATTCAAATTAAAAAATATAAAGTAGAAAAACAAGACCAGAAGACGTGGTCCCTAATGTTGAGAAATTTATAATCTAGCAGCTAAGGTATAATTAATGAAAAACAGAAGGCCATATATACCCCAGCATTTGACAGCATTATTCATTTGTTTCATGGGTACATTTAGCCATTAAGTGGATTCTTCTCTGTTCCTCCCCTTGATCTTTCACATTTGGCTTAAATTTTCTATCAGAAGAGAACAACAAAGAAACACAGTCAACAGAAATCTAGGACTGCCAGCAATCCTGGTCTTTCCATTATTAGAGACTGTGGGGAAAATGCCATCTCAATTTGCCTGAGAGGAAAGTTATATTCTTTCCTATAATGGGTATCTTCATAATTAATGAGATGGGCAGTTGTGTTCTGGAGCTTTCCACAAGCACACATGTTAAAGGAAGGCATCGTAAGAATGCTTTTGCACTGAGGGCTGGAGCTGCCTTTCTTCCTTCAGTTTTATCTTATTTCTGTTGGGTGCATGTAATGATGCACCCAGCTGATGACACTGTTTGGTACTGGCTGCCTGCTCTGGTGACATCCCCCCATTTAATGACACCAGGCTCTCTGGGAATGATGGGGTTATGTCTGATGGAAACAGTTTCCAGTGATTTAATGGATCTCCTTGATCAGGTCACAAGTCATGAATAGTGACATCTTATGGGGGAAATTTTTTAAAATGGGTAAATTTCAGGCACACCCTGAGGACACATTGCAGAAAGTCTGCTACACAATAGAAAGGTTTGCTAACACTGAGTATCAACATTTAGTATTTTGGGTGTCAGCTTACACCCTGTTCTGTTTGCAAGCTGAACATAGGCAGAATTCTCTCCTGCTGACTCTCCTTAACAGTGTATACTGGAAATTTCAAAGATCATTCTATTTTACTGGAAATAGTGTGGCTTTGGGTGACTGGAAATGAGAAGAGGTAGCTGAGGTCCTCAGCATGAAAAGGGGCATGCAGAAGTGAAGAGACTCACTGTCTCTTGAAGCAAGCTTGACTTCCATGATCCCCAGGACTGGGTCTGGCTTTGCATTTTGTATAAGAGAAGGGTCAACTGAGCTGAACCTAGTGTAGTTCATGAATCCTATGTATTCTGTCTAATTACCATGGAGAGATGTAAGAAGTAAAACATGTAATGTAGTTTTATATTTAATAATTCAGTTTTGCCAATGTCTAGACATATTACATAGAAATTACTTATTAGGAAGTAGAAGGAAATGTGCAAGAGATTTTATGGGCTATTTCTACAAATCAGCTGTTTGAAGTTTCATTTGACACAAAAAATACAGTATTATTCCTCTTTCACAATGACAAATGTGTGATTTGGATAAGGATAAGGAAATGTGCCCACAGTTCTCCCAAGTAGTCAGTGTGCACTTGGTGGCCAGGGCCAGTTGTATGGAAGTATTTCCTTTTTCCAATCTCCAGATGCTTCTTAGGGTTTTAGCAAATGTTGATTAAAAAATGTTAGAAATGAAATCATGCCTGTTAAATATTGGCAATTTTAAAAAAGCTTTGGGTTGTGGTTATCTGTGACTGGAATGACAACAGAATGTTTTGCAAGAGGAGAGGGGAGGGAAAGGGAGATTGGGAGAGAGTAGGGCCAAGAGTGAGGAGGAGGGGGAGAATGAGAAGGAGGAGGGAGAGAGAGAATGGTGATTATTATGTCCAAGTCACTGAATTTATTGGAGGTGTCATTTTCTTTTGCATGACAAAATGGAGATGGCAATAAACTTTTTGCAAGAAAGAGAGCAGAGTTTCAAAAGGAAGAGAGGAGGAGGCTGGCGTGAGAGGAGGGGAGGGTTGGGAAGGGCAGAGGTAGGGAGCAGAAGGGAAGGAGGGAGAAAGGGAGAATGGTGATTATTATGATCAAGTCCCCGAATTTATTTGGAGGAGTCATTTTCTTTTTCATAACAAAATGCAGATGGCAGTAACTACCCATACATCCAAAAGTGAGATTCTAACAACACATACAGATGTAAATTACTGGTTAATGTGATAGAAGAAACAATACAAAGAAAAGAAAGGAGGGCTGGGTACATGGCTCTGTGTTAGAGTACTAGCCCAGCATGTTCAAGGTCCTGGGTTCAATCCCTAGCACCATAAAAGAAAGATGGAAAGAAA